GCACCAAACGACAGTGGTCCTAGTTGGAATTTTCAGTTTTATCCCCCCCATGATTGTGTCGGGAAACAGTGATCCTTCTGCTCCAATTTCATTACTGCTGCATCCCTTTCTCCTCCAGAAAAAGAAACAGTTACTAATTTTGGGACTGTCACTGATTTAGGAACAACTTTAATGCCATTAAATTTCTGCGCACAGACATTCTGCAGTATTAAATGTTGCCACTAGAGAAATGCAGAAGATGAAGGATTTTAAAGGTCATCTGGTTCAGCCCCAAGGCTTTGGAGCAAACTCTCCTACAAATGTCTTTGTGTCCTTATGACGTCACTGCCTTGCTTTCAATACCCTCCAATACCAGCCCCAAATATCAGTCCATATGGCAGCAGGAAGTCCTGGATTTGCAGGACAGCTTTGGTTTTAAAGAGACTACTGCAATGTCCCTATAAGTTAGGGTGACTGTCTCAGTGTCCCTGATGCAGTTCTGGTTTATACTTAATGTTATGGCACCTTACTACCAGCAGCTTCTTTCACCCTCAAAATGGTCTTGCTTTAGACGATTTATTATATGGCCATGCTTCCTAAGCACACAGGCATTTATAATATGCACTCCAAGTTTCAGTTTGGAAGACATGGACACACACAGCCCCCATCTGTCCTTTTTTCCATTCTTACCTAGCACATGCCCTCTGGTGTGCTCATGCATGTCTGATGATCGCCTCCTCCCTTGTTCAACACTTGTTCTGGTCTCTGAGTTTGCTAATGTTCCTCTCCCTTCCTGAATGTTCTCCTGCCCCACTCCACTTATGTAAATCTTACCCATCTTTCAAACTGTGCTCAAGCCCCACTCCCATGAAGCCGCCTCTGTCTACCTCAACCCACACTGATTTCTCCCTTCTCTTAACTTCTACCCATGACATTTGCTTTGCTAAAACAAGGTGAGGAGGGAAAGGCACATCTTTGGTAATGGACTCACTCCTCCTCCGAATGTTCTGCCTGCACATTGTTTAGAAGCCCGCAGGTAGTACCTGGTAAAGGTAATTTGGTCCTTATCTCAACAGGTTGGCTATCTTCAAAGGTGCTTCATTAAAAGAAAGGAGAATATAATGCATAATCCATTTGCACATGCTTTCTTCTTATAAAACGGTTGTTCAACTAAGAAAGCTGCAAATAGAACATTTAAACTGGAGGCTCTCTTGGAGATTAACTTGCCTAACCTCTTGCCCAAAGCAGATGTGCACCCCCACAACACACAGCATCCTTGAAAGATGGCCATCCAACTTGTTGGTAAACACTTCGTTTGAGCCTCTCTCTCCACAAACTTTGATCTCTTGCTGGACAGCTCTGGTTGTTAAAGTCCTTCCTTATAATAGAGTATTTCTCAAAGTTAAGTCTGTGGACCATCTGTACCATAGTTATTTGAGGTGCTTGTTAAAATCAGATTCCCAAGTCCAACTCTGGCATATTGAATTAGCATTTGGAGCAAGAAGAGAAACAGTAATCTACACTGTTAACAGGTTTTCCAGGTGATGTTTATGATACATATAAGATTCACTGCTGGAGTCAGTGGATTCTATATCTAGAATTTAGTTCTACCTTCCTCACTATGGAGAGCAAGACCCTTTCCTCTTCTTCAAGGCAGGTCTTTCAACACTGGAAGAGGTCAGTTCTCTACCTCTCCTCATTAATACTCTTTTGCAATCCAGGTTATTTCACTCTTCCTCCTACTACAAAGTTCCTTACCCTGAACCAAGTTGAGCACACTCCTTCCGGTGTTTTCCTTCTTGCCAATGTCCCCCTCCCCCCACCAAATATGATGCCCAAATGAAAGAGAGCGAGCTAGATTTGTAATGCTTTCACTACATACTGACAATTTTCTGAAGTACAGTTGACCCTTGGACAATGTGGGGGTTAGGGGCACCAACCCCCTGTGTAGGCAAAAATCCACATATAATCCTGACTCCCCAAAACTTAACTACTATAGCCTGCTCTTGACTGGAAGCCTTACTGATAACATAAACAGTCGATTAACATGTATTTTGTATGCTATATACTGTATGCTTATAATACAGTAAGTTGTAGAAAATATTTTTTAAAATCATAAGAGAAAATAATTTACTGTATTTATAGTACTATACTGTATTGATCAGAAATAGTTCACATGTAAGTGGACCTACATGGTTCAAACCCATGTTGTACAAGAGTCAACTGTGTATCAATTTATACTCCTACCAGCTGACAATGAGAATACCCATTTAGGCTTGAACTAACCAGCAGGTATTATCATTTTGTAATTCTTTGCTAATTTAATGGGCACGTGACGTTGACTCCTCATAAGTTGTTTTATTTTGGGTGCCTTTTAAAAATATTTTTCATATATATATATTGGCCATTGGTAGTTCTTTTGTGAATTGTCTGCTTCTCTCTTTTCTGTTTTCTTTTCATTTTTAATTCATTGTGTCAGTTGCTATGGCAAGTAAATCCTTTCAATGCATTACCTCATATAATGCTCCAAACACTATCCCCACTCTATAGGTGAAGAAACTGAGCCTTCAGGAGCCTATAATGAGGAAACAGATCTTCTGCTTCCTCACTGATTCATTCCTTCTTTCAACAACCTTTTTTTGGAGGAGAGCTCTCCATCTTCCAGACACTTTGTAAAGTGAGTTAATAGAGCTGAGTATTGGAGATGAAATTTGGAGAAAGATTCAGAAGAGCACCAGGAATATTCACACCTCTGTTGTCTCCTACTTATACTTACAATTTCCCTTATTCTTTGTTATTTTTCCTGGTGTAGAGATAACGGTGACCAAGTTATAATCAGTTGGTGGATAGCGATGCTGTTTAGGAGAATATATGTATCTGTGAATATATTTGCCAAGAGAGGTAATATGTGGCTGACCCTAAAAGACTACCAGGAAAGGATCAAAGGGAGTAATTTGGGAATGATGCAGAACTCCATTACAGTAATAGCAGAAATTGTTCAAAAGCACAGACAAGTAAAATTGGCTTTCATTTTTTCCATTTTATATTATCTGATATCCCAAGACCAGTGTTTACACAATTAACTGAGATCCTAATGTTAATTCATTATTTATAGCATTTCAGTCCAAACAGCTGAGCATCTCTTGGTTTTTGGTTAATTTAATCAAATTTTATGCAATTATACTTTAATTCAAAATACATATGCATAAAGTTGAAATCCTGATATTTAAATCAGTTGAATTTACAAGATTAAGAGAAATGCAAACACCCAAGTACAGATCCGAGTTAGGAGCAAAATTTAAAATAATTTCATTCCACTCTCTTTTTCTAAGAAGGTAGCCAATGCCCAAAGGACAGGAGTTCTCAATATCACACAGTGATTGCTAACAGTGAGATTCAAATTGAGATCCTGTACTGGTGGGCCTTTCACTGATCTCTATTCCTAATATCACTCAAACAAATCCTGGTCCTCTAAACTCTTACGAAAGGTTCCAAACAAAACCTATAAACCAGTCGTCAGAACAGCTAATGCAATTTTTAAAGTTTCGTTCCTCCAGCTTTGCAATTCCAGCCAGACTGATAAAAGTCCTTGAGGGCTAGATTTTTCTAAAAGCTTTAGCAGAAACTCAATTTCTTCCTTATTAGTCATTGGTAGAAACATATTCATTTGTAATTCCAAAGCCCTGCATTTTGCCCCAAATCTTTCTTTCATGTAATAAACAAACATACTGAAAAAGAAAAAAATGTATTAGATGCCATTTACAAGGCCCATTTCCCCAAATATAAAAGAACTCATTTTGTCTTTCTTCTTTACTATTCTAGGTTTCCCATTACTCTCTTTTCAAACCAGTAATTTTGAATTACTCAAAAATGTTAACTTCACTTTGTCAACAATGAAATTTTAGTTCCTCACAACTTAATGCCTGGCAACCATGCTCTTTTCACAAAACATAAAGACAACCTTGACATTTAAACTGATGGTTCTAAATAAGGATACAAAGCAAATTTTAAAAAGCATGGACTATTCCAATGTATCTGTTAATTGTCCAGTTTCTAGAATTTTATCCTCCACACTTGATCTGAATTGCAGGCATACCTCAGAGATATCGTGGGTTCAGTTCCAGACAAGTTCATAAAGTATCACAATAAAACGAGTCAAATGAATTTTTTTTGCTTCCCAGTGCATAGCATAGGAAAGTTATTATTTACACTACTCTGTAGTCTATTAAGAGTGCAATGCCATTATGTCTAAAAAAAAGTACAGACCTTAATTAAAAAATACTTCATTGCTACGAGAGCTAACCATTAAATCTCTGCTTTCTGCCAGTCATAATCACCGATCAGACAACCATAACAAATAACGAAAGTTTGAAATACTGTGAGAACTGCCAAAATGCGGCACAGACACAAAGTCAGCAAATGCTGTTGGAAAAAATGGCGTCAAGGCAGGGTTGCTACAAACCTTTAATCTGTAAAAAAACAAACAAACAAAAAACCCAAAACGCAGTGTCTGCAAAGCCCAGTAAAGCGAAGCACAACCAAACGACCTATGCCTGTATTTGCTGGCCCGCACCCACCAACACACAGGTGTTTCACCTTCCCCGTTTTCATGCACCAGGAACACCGCCCCGCCGTACACACTCCTCTCTCTACAAGCAAGTCGCCCCCTCCCACCAATACGCTTCCTCCACACACAGACCTCTCCCCACGCAGACACCCCCTCCAGAAGCAAACACTCATGCACCTTCACCCTCTCCCCCACCCCCAACACACAAATAAAACCAATGCAGGGAATCATCAGAAAATAGCACATTCTACCAAAGTTTAACCTGCAGAGCCAAGCCCTGAGGCCGTTAAAACCGGAAGCCATGTTAACTGTCAACTGTCTCACAAGGGACAGGCTCTTTCAAACCTCTCCTTGGAGATTCGGGCATGGTGGCCCTTCAATGCTGCTGGAAGACTCAGCTTGGCGGCCTTCCCCGGGGAAGGTGAGAGCCCAGAGGTCCGAGGAGCACACTCACTGCAAATCTGACTTGGCAGTTCTCCTCTCCCAGGTAACACAGGTCTCCTGAGACGTTGGTCTCCAGCCACAGGTGCTCTCCGTTCACGGCATTCTCCTGGAAGGAAAAGACCCACCTGACTTCAGGTTTCTTTTCAGGCATAAAGGAGAGAGATCTCAAATTTAGATTTTGGGATGCAAGAAAGTAAGTGCACCCACAGAGTTTAAACCCTTCTCATTTTACCCCTGAAAATACGGCTGGTGTTGGGCCTATCAAAATTCTAGAAACAGAACAGGTGTTTAGAAAAACTTTGTCTCAGCCATCACTAAAACAGACATGAGGCCTATAAAAGCTTTATCCATAGTTGTGGTAATCTGTGAAACATATTAAACAAATGAAGAAAAATCCCTCCCTCAAATTGTTCAATGTAAGGCCATATTTATCCAGGCCCAACACTGCAGATTCCATGGCAATCAAGACCAAAATGCTATTAAAGGTTGCCTCTACTTAGCAAATTAGCTAAGAAGGATAGTAGTATTAACGTACTTTAGAGACTGTTTGAAGACATATTTATATCAGTAATGGGTAAGTTATATTCTAAGGCAGAGGCTTCTTAAAACTTACTCTAAGTCACTGTGTACTCAAAGCATAATAAATTGCTACCAATTCACACTTTTCCTACTTCAGTAGGGCTTTCACCCATATAACTCTAAACTTCTCAAATTGAACGATTTCCCTGCTTCTATAAATAGTCACATCTGATGGCAAACAGAGGTGCTGTGATGGGTGACATGAGTGCAACAATCTGATGTTCAGGAATGCATACTGTTTCGTTGGGGAGGGTGGGTGGGGGGAGTGTAATACTTCTTAAACAGGATCTGGCACACTACCTTAGAAACCCAAGGGATTTATGTATTAACTGTGTATTTTGCTCATTTGCTTGAAAAGGACTCTGAGCTATTAAGGAAAGCACTGGACTGGACTGGGTTAACCACAAAGAGATGAAGTTTACTGAACTTGAACTGAGGAATATTGCCCTTGTTTTTATCTAGTTCATCTGTGGGGCATATCATCACTTTTCCATGGGGGATGTTATAGACTGAACAAATTCATATGTTGAAGCCCTACTCCTCAGTATTTGAGGATAAAGCCTTTGAGAGGTAATTAGGGCTCTGCCCTCATGATTGGGATTAGTGCCCTAATAAGAAGAGACATGAGAGGGATCTTTCTCTCTCTCCATACATACACCAAGGAAAGGTCATGTGAAGATAGAGTGAGAAGGCAGCCATCTACAAGCCAGGAAGTGGGTTCTTACCAGGAACCAAATCTACCAGTGCCTTGATCGTGGACTTCCCAGACTCTAGAACTGTGCGAAATAAATTCCTGTTGTTTAAGCCACCCAGTCTATGGTATTTTGTTAAATGACTTCAATAAGGAGCTTTATAGAATAACCAAGTAATTTAGAAGTCCATCTTATATGAGTCAACTTTATAATAACTGACTCCAGAAATGTCCACATGACTGCCCTCTGAATCCCAAAGCTCAACATGAAGTAGCAGAAACATATACCAAAGAGAAGCTGAAAAAAATACACTGTCATCTATTTCTTAAAATAAATATATTTCTTCAGATTCCAGTACAATACCTTTCCTTTAGGAGCCTATAGGCACAAATGATTTTCAGACAAGAATAACTAAAGGTTAGAGATACTTCACAATCTGAGAAAGGTGACACCAACTCTTAGAAGAGTGAGAGTGAGAGGCAGGAGAAATTTCATGAGTTCTGTAGATATTGAGGGATCAGGAACAATGCACAAGGAGACTCTAAGGTGGGGGCATGCCATGCATGTCTCAGAGTGCTTCAAAACTATTCCAGAAAAGAAAGCAATGCTAATAAGAATCATCACCCTCGGGACGCCTGGGTGGCTCAGTCGGTTGAGCGGCTGCCTTCGGCTCAGGTCATGATCCCAAGGTCCTGGGATCAAGTCCCACATCAGGCTCCCTGCTCGGCGGGAAGCCTGCTTCTCCCTCTCCCACTCCCGCTTGCTTGTGCTCCTGCTCTCGCTATCTCTGTCTCTGTCAAATAAATAAATAAAATCTTTAAAAAAAAAAAAGAATCATCACCCTCCATGTCAAAGGGTGACTGACCATCTTTTCACCAAAACTCTTTCTTCTCTATTGGTCATTTTTCCCTGTAGAAAGTCATGTTGATTTGTTTTTTATGGAAGTCAGTGGGAAAACAGGGTTCACCTCCCAGTCAATCTTGCAGAAAAGCAACAGAAGCAAGAGAAGAACAGCTATAGGTTTAGACCCTAAAAATTTTCAGGTAGGAATGGACAAGGACAGTATATATATTTATTTATTTATCTTATACATACATACATATATACATATATACATGAATACATATATATATGAATGGCCTGTCTTTGTTAGGTATCCTAAAGAAATTGATCCCCACGATCTAAAACAGTCTATTACTAGGAACTTGATATCCAACTTTAGTTTATAGCCATTTATAGAATAAAATCTTTTTCATTCTGTTGTTCTTTAATTCATTCAATAAACATTTATTCCACACCCCTGGTGCCCGGCACTGGGTTAGTGGGGTAACCCGTGGCATAAAATCTACCAGGGAACATGAAAACTAAACACGTAATTACAGCATCAAATATTAGGGAAACCAAAAGAGCAAAGATCCTGCCAACAGTTTTAGAAAATGAAGAATAAAATGTTGCAGTGGGTCAAATGGTCAAAAATCACTAACAGTAAATACCAAACTGATAAACCTTGAGTCAGATTCAGGCATAGCAGGGCCACCAGCATTCGCTAACCTCATTCTTGAGATCTGATTAGAAAGACTGTCCTTTGTAAGGGAAGAGGGAAAAACAGACAAGAAGCTTCCTGCCACAGTGGTTTTGACCCACTGGTTCTCAAATTTGACTGCTCATTAAAATGAACTGGTGAGTTTTTAAGAATACCTGGGCACCATCCCCAGAGAGTCTATTTTAACTAATGTGAGATAAAACCTGGACATCATGAGTTTTCAAAGTTCTGAAGTGACTAATGTGCAGAGAGTCTGAGACCCCATAATCCAGCAGATCCTGCCCTGCCCCCTCAAGTTAATTGATAATAGATTCTAGAACTTGTATATGACTGGTCTATTAAATTTGATACTTTTCTGTCCTTGTACAGCCACCAGAGAAGAAAGTAAGAGGAAGAGAGATGAGGAGGCATTAGGTAGCCCAGAGAGATTTTAAGGAAAGAGACAGGAAACCACAGAAACATAGCGAGAAGGCTCAAAGTTCACAAGATAGATCCGGGGGATAAGGGAAAAGTCAATGCACAAGCCTTTAAGGAAGCAGCAGAATAACTTAAAATGTTTATACACTTACTAGTAATCTTACTTGAAGAATGTACCCTCAGGAAATAATCCTAATGGAAGAAAAACTATTGACATCAAGAAGTTTATTTCTACCTTGTATAATCAAAAATTGGAAACATCACAAATGCCCAGTGCAGAAGAATGTTTGGTAGAATAATACATGAAATGGAGTATTATAAAGTCATCAAGAATTATGAAGATTGGCCATAAGGAAAATGACATGATGTAAAGTCAAATAAAAATAAAAATAAAAATAAAAATTACCTGTATATTATGATCACAACTCTGAATATAAATAAGAGCTGAAAAAATTGTTATTTGTAGCTTGATTTCTGGATCCACATATCCCTATTAGTTATTTCTACTTGTTCTCCTTTCCTGGAAAAGTTCAACAATGAGTTTTCTTTTTTTGCTGCCTCTACTTCTTTCCACTCCATTATTTCTTGAACCCAACTCCATCAGGCTTTCTTCCTTCTCATTCCACTGTAACTATTTTTGTCAAGATCATCAGTGACTTTACATGGCTAAATCCAATAGCCAATTCTCAGTCTTTATCTTAATCAACGGCTTTTGATACAGGTGATCATTCCCTTCTTTCAGGGACACTTGCTTCCTGGAAACACTATACTCCTTTTGTTTTTTTGCACCTCAATGGCCACTCCATCATGATCTTCTTTCCTGGACCTTTCCCAAAAATAATCCCAAACTCTAAATATTAGGGTGTTCCATAGCTCATTCTCAGATCTTTACTCTTCTCCATCCACATCCAGTCGTTAGGTTATTGTATTTAGTTCTCGTGGCTTTAGAATCCATCAGTTAATTGTTGCCTCCCAAATTATTCATACAGTACAAACCTCCTCTTTGAACTTCAGATTCATTAAAAAAAAACTGCCCTCTCAATATCTCCACCTGAAACCAATAAGCATCTCAAAATTTTAGTCTCAAAACTCAGTTTGTGATACACTCCTTAAATCTGCTCTTACTCCAATCTTTTCCCTAAATTTTCAGCAAATGATATTTCCATTCTTACAGCTGCAAATATTTACTAAAAACTTTGGGGTCATTCTAGATTTCTCTTTCACACTCCTACCCATCTCTAATGTTACTGACTCCAGTTTCAAAATGGGCATGCAACTCAATTACCTACCACTTCAACTGTCACCACCTGATCCTCCATAATCTTTGGCTTGGAACGTCCCAATAGCCCCCTAAGTGGTGTCCCTGCTTCAGTCTTGCCTCCCCATGGTCTGTTCTCCACAGAGCAATGAAAGTAATTGCTTTAAAATGTAAATGTGACTAAGCCACTGATCTGCCCAAAACTCTTCAAAGGCTATCCATGAACTTGGAAGAGTGCAAAGTTTTTCTATCTAGTCCCTGGTGCCTCCCTTACTTCCTGTCTGTCTGCAACCTCATTTCTTGTGCTGGTTACCTCATCTTCTATCATATTCTGTCTGAGTCATTGACTTGCAGTCACACTGGTCTCCTTGCTATTTCTCAAGCAGGCTAAAGAAGCTCTCACATCAGGTCCTTTGAATTGGCTGTTCCCTTGACTAAAAATTGCTTACATGAGATACCTACATTGTGCCTTCCTCATTTTTTTTTTTTAGGTCTCTGTTCAAATGTCCCTACATCAAAGGCTGTTCACTGCATATGCTGTTTAGTATATCCAGACTGTTTACTCCTCTCCATTTTGACTCTATGTGGTTAACTTCTATTCACTTTCTGGTCATCAG